ATCCGGGTGTGCACCAATCATGATCCTTTTTTATATCCTTAACATTTATTTGTGGGGGTGCTAATCATGCCTTATTTTTTTGAACAGAAATTAAAGTGCTAGCCATGCCTGTTGTTGTGAGCACTTATAGATGCTCCTTTTTTACTGTCCTCATCGTAGGGGAGGCACCGTATGCACGCGACAAGGAGCATAAGAAAACTAGATGCGTGGATGGGAGACATCAGAAGTGGAGGATGGACATTCATATTAAACGACAAGTTTCATGTGTTTAACCATTTTAGGACATTCATATTAAATTCAATGAATTAATACATCAAAAGATATTGTTGATTAAAATAATTTAATAATAATATTTTTAGTAAAAACAAGAAGTTATAAGTTCAAATTATATGACACATAAATAAAATCAATAAAAAATAAAAAAAGAGTTACATCTCATTGTACAATCTAAACTAAGAATAAATACTCCAAGAGATATTATCAATTTTTTTTTATCAACAAAATAAATTTTTTATTTTAAGGAGGACAAGGGATGCTCCAACCCATATACAAAGAGATATTATCATTTTAGTTAGGATTAGTTGTCTCGTGAGGATAAAGCAAGAAAATTCACTATCTTTTAATATGTTAGTATTAATTTCTTCTTCTTCTTCTTTTTTTTTTTATTTATTTTGATTGCACAATAAAAAGTAATAATTTCTCATCTTTTATTTCACCTTACTCACATGCTATACGACTCGAACACAAGACTTCTTATTTTCAATGAAAAGAGATTATTATTAAATTATTTAAGTTATTGGCATATTAGTATTAACTTTAAAACCTTATATTAATTTAATGTCAAGTTTAAGATACAATAAGAGTGTTATTACCAACAGGTGGCTGCAGTTGATCACATGCATCTCTCTACATGTAAGAACGCTCAATAATTATTACTGTATTATTTCAAAACTGATTCATTAACGATTTTTTTTTTTTTTATGGTAACAATTACTAATGTTGGCGTGTTGATATATAACAAAATTCTTGTATAGTTGATATGTCATCATTAAACAAATAAATCACGTGTATCAATGAAGAAAAAAATCAATGATAAAGAGTAAAAATTCTTGCAGTCGTTTTATTGTAAAAGGTTTATTATTGTTAACAGGCGTAATGGACAATCATTTTGATAATTTTTTTGTTTTGTAGATTTTATAAAGATAAAAAAGTATTGTGTAAAATTTGTTTGCAGCTGGAAGGCTGCCAAACAGGCTTAGTTATTGCTACAGGTTTTTTTTTTTTATTTTTTTTTAATTTTAAAATTAAAATTACACAAGTAATATAATATATAAATACATTTGATTTAATTAATTTATAGTTATTTTGTAAAAACAATTCATTATAGTGTTTAAAAATATTAATTTATAATAGAAGTTTATTTTATTAAATAATAAATAACTGCAATTTCATTAATTAATAATATAAAATTATTAATTATTTTTAACAATTAGATAAAAAAAAATTATATGATCCTAACAAAAACATTGTGAGGCAACAACCATGCGCCTGCAAAGCAAACTATTGCAAAAAATGTGGCAGGGATTGATGCAGTTATCACCTCAATCTCATACTTTCTTTCTGTGTAATGTTTACCACCACAATCATAATCATCTCATTTCGTTTTTTTTAGCCACAATTATTTCTTTTCTTTTGGCTATCTTGTCCATCCATGCTCTGCTGGCTTTTGATGCTCAATTATTATTATTATTATTTTTTTGACAAGGAAAACATTTGTTAAGAATTCGTACCTGTTTTTAGATCAGCATCAAAAGTTGAAATCAGGTGACCTCAAAAATAATATTATTAAAGTAACATGGTCCGTCCATTAGATCGGGGGAGTTCGATGCTCAATTATTGGTTCCCGCATAGCATGAGTCACGACCAGGGTAATATGTGCCTATAAAACAATTTGACCAATTTCAATCTAGAATGTTGTTCTATCATTGTCGGACTAATTTAGTAATCTAAGGACGAAAATGGACCTCAAATTGGATTTTTTTTTATGAAATTTAAGTTTCACGTTTCTTTCTACCCTATTCTTCAGAAAGTATGAACCCCTGTGTTCACAAAAGCATATTTTGAAGGTTTACAAGTCAAAGCTTAGACGGTTTTAAATTTTAACAAACTATTTCTTGGATTGTAGTTCTATATCAACGGAATCACATTTGGTTGGTAAGAAATTATAATCAATTCGTTTGAAAAACAAAACGAAAAATAAATAAATTCCAAAGAATTATAAAAATGTACGGCAAGGTTCATAGATTAGTCAAACAGATGCTATTTTCCACCCACATGCTTAAAATTAATTTTCAGTACGATAATGAATTTTTAATGAATCAGGGTTGACGTCATTACATTAATGATTTCGTCAAAAGACTCAAAACACCTATTTGCTCCTTAGATTTTTTTTTTTATGATTAATACTTTAAATTATTTTTTTTATCAATACTTTTCATAATTTAAAATTCATAAAAAACTTTAAATTACCAATAAAATCAATGTAAAAATAGGAAGTTTGAATGTTAATTTTTGGTGTAAATAAAGAGTTTAATTGTTAAATTTTAAATTTTTTTGTATGTTTCAAATTATAGAGAATATTAACTAAAAAATTAATTTAAAATATTAACCATAAAAAAAAATATTTAAGGTGTAAATATGAGACTTCACTTAATGATGTTTCGGGTACTTCTACCAAAAAAAAAAATTGATAATTCAATTACAGTAAAATGTTTTACATTTTTTAATATACTAAATTATAAAATATTAATTATTAAATTAAAGAAAACCGCCCCTGCCAATGGCTGGGCAAAGTCCTTGCTAATTTAAAACCTGTATATTTCCAGCAGATGGTAATGGCCCAAAAAAGAAATACTATTGAATGAAATGGCAATTGCAAGAAAGCTCAATAGAATAATTCTTTAACTAAATGCTTTTATAAACAACACAATTTGCCCAGCCTTTCTTTTAGCTTAACTACATCTCTGTTTTTCACCTATGACATCTCTCTGAACCTAGCAAGTGCCTTTTTCTGGATGACTGTCTTGTAACTATCTCCAGCCTGCACCTCAAGGCTTGGATCCACCACCTTCTTTTGCTGTCTTCCAAGTCCTGCTCTACTGTCAATGGCTTGGGCTTGAACTGGTTCCACCATTCCACTTCCATCCTTCCCCAATCCCTAAGTATCCATATCAAGTGCCAAAAAAAGAGAAGGCAATCCCCAGATTCAAAATAGTTAGAATGATGCTTCAAACTACACAACTAGCAACCAAGACACTCCCATTTGGACTGCCAAATGTACCTAACAACATGCTCTGGTAAAGGGAGAAAACAGATGATGAAGATGCTACTCAGAATTACACAATCAATACTGAAGATTTTCTTTTACAGTTATAACAATGCAAGTATCTCCAGTTAAAGAGGTATGGGACTATAAAACCTTCCTATGATTGAATGCAAAAAGTCTGACCAACTGGGTAAAAGATCAGAGAAGGTGAGACTTGACACAAACACAACAGGGAATTAGAAAAAAAATATGAACATTGAGTTATTGAGTTGCTGCTCCTCGCCAGGAGAGGCATACTTTAGCAATTTATATAAATAGAAGAATGTGACCAAAATTTAACAGCTAGAAGAGCATAAGAGGGAAATGGTACCAAGCCTTCTTGCCAACCCATACTGCGAAGCATTCGGTTGCCCACATTCTTCTCATCAATTGCCTTGTCTGCAGTGATCACTTCATAACTCTGAACATCATCTGACGTGACTCCATGTCCACCCCCAACACCCGGAGGAAAAGGCATTGGATCAGAAGAAATCTTTTTGAACGCAGAATCTTGATCTTGAAAGTTCACCAATGCAGGATTTCTCACAAATTAATAGAAATAATTGAGAAATAAAGCAATGCAGCCATCACTCAGAACAATATCAAACAGCTGATTTTTGATAATCCAGACAAAGGTGTAAGATCAGGAATGCAATAATTAGCGAATGAAACAGAAAAGACACTCGAAAAAGAATGTAAAGCAAGCTTACTTGAATTCCCGAGCTCAAGGTCAGACAGATTATCACCAATGGAGGATGACGAGCCATATAAGCTCCTCCTCTCTGCTGCACGATCTCTATAAGTAGTCTGGGGCTGCTCCTTAGAGAGTAGTGGCGTTTCAGAAAACCTTCTTTTGCCACTCCCAGGAGCTACAGACGGAGCATAAGAACCCAATGCAGATGCATCTGTTCTGTAGGGAGTTCCAACTGTAGGTGTTTCCAAATTAGTTGATAATGATGAACCCATGGGATTTGCAGCAGCAGTTGTGGAAACCCCAGCAGATGAACCAGAATAAGACACATTGGATTGCCCCAGACCTCTAGTGGAATCCCTTATGACTCCCATTAGAGTTCCTCCTGAGCTGTTACTTATAGGCCTTGGCACGGTAGACTCCAAAACAACAGCCGACATATTTTGTGTGGTATCAACTCCAAAACTTGACTTAACATAGTCCTTTGGCATCGTCACATTAGATTTAGACTTGCTCTTTGTGTATTGTCCAACTGAAAAAGGCTTATCATCAGCCAAAGAAGAGTTTGGATCGTCATCGAGGGCCAAACGTGTTGCCTGTCCTTCATGACTCCTCTGTTTCCACATTGACAATACATTATTCATTTTTTTCTTATTAGCAAGTATACTGCTCTTTGAAGCGAGTTTTATCTCTTTTGCTTTCTCCTTCTCTCTCTTTTCTGCAGCTATTGCCGCTGTTGCAGCAGCCTGGACTGCATCTGGTAGTGAGGCAGCCCTCTCAACTGATGCAACAGTGGCAGCTGGAGCGGAGATTACTACTTTCCTATTGTTGGAACCTTCAACTGCCTTTGAAGACTCAGATTGTTTAATGATAACTTTGTTGTCATTCTGATCGGTGCAGGGGATGTACTGTTCATTTTGATGATCATATGAATACCAAATCCCATTGTTACCATCATAATAAAGTCCTGTACATTGCAAGAAATTACAAAAATATCGAGAAAAGAGAGCTTGGAAGCAACTCCAGATTATATTATAATTTTAATTTTAAAAAATTATTGTACCAAAAAGTCTGGGTATCCATAGAGGCATAAAAGGTTTTTTGTAGCAATATGATGTGTATTTACCATAACAGAGTTGTCCCAAAATGAAACATGCCAAGCTCCTAGAAAAATGAAGGTATCCACAATAACATGAAAATTAATAATGAGAGAGCTTCTACAACCCCAATAGAGAGTGGGAGAGGGACAGAAGGAGTTTAGAAGTCAGTTTCTTATATTCTCAACCTACATGCAAAGTCTAGATAATTCAGGTAAGATGACTAAACCTTGGAAGACAGAAAAGCATGGACATGATTTTCGAAGTTTTAATATTTTTAATGGGCATAACATGATTCAATCATAAGAAAGCTTCCATAAAACGAAAACCCAAAGGGAAAAACCTGAATTTCCATCATAGTAAAACCCAGAAGCAGAATCATAATAATAACCAGACGCTTCATCCCAGACAAAACCAGATTGCATAGTTGAACCATCTTGTTGAATGGTAACTGCCCCACTACCCTGTTCCTGCTTCCCAGCAGACTGTTTGTCTTCGGCATTATATTCCTTTGGTGCCCATCCAACAGCATCATACTAAAAGGATAAATGAAGTTGCATAAGAATTTGTTTGGCATTTGAGATGCCTTAACAACAACTAATATGAGGGTTGGCCATGGAGGGCAAAGAAAATATGCAGCAGTCTGTTTAAAAATTTGAAAACCATTTATAAATTAAGTTATATAGATTATAAATTTAAACCATTTTCATTGAATCAGCAGTCTGTAACTACTCATAAATTAAACTTTTGAAACCCATTTTCGTTGTAAGATTTTAAAGATCATGTGTCATAACTTCTGTTCTCAATACTCTTTAGGAATTTGACAAAAAGACAAATCTTAAAAAAACTAAGAATACTTTGAAAAAATAAACATAATAAACATTAGATTTGAATTTTTTACATATCTCTTCTTTTTCTCTTCCTCCTCTGTCAAGGGGAAATCTTATACCTATAATATAAGTGTTCTGTAAAAAACCTTTCCATCTCAAAATATAACCAGATATGATCACAAGGAGAAACAAATAAACTTTAACCTCTTGTTATCCAGTTTTATAACAAGCTAAAAGGTCAGAAAGTTCCCTTTAGATACCTGTTGAGCAAATGCTGCTGCCTCGATAGCAGCAGCTGCCAGACTGCTTGACTGTGAAGGTCCTGATGTCCCTGATCCTGGCCCAAGTATGCTCTTTGCATAGGCTACTCTTAGGATCTGCCCATTCTTCTCAAGTGTTGTTCCATTTGTTGCTTCAAGAGCTTTGGTAGCGTCCTCAACCTACATGACATCAAAAACATGCACCTCTAGGTCATATAAAAATTCATTCCTGGTGACAGGTACAGGAGATAAAATAATAATCCTACACTGGAATGAAGTACTTAAATAATAGAAAGAGGGGAGCTTTTACAAAACCTTCCAGGGAGCATAGAATGGAATTACAACAGTATGCAATAGCTAGATTAGTGTTTTTTGACTAGTACGGTAAGACAAGCGACACAACCCATATCAAACACTGGCAGATGAACAGTTGAAATACAAGTCAGAAGTTCATACACTAATTTGCAGATCGAGAATTTTTATATTTGTAAACTGAAAAAATGAGACAAATATTCCTCATCCTTTCCTATACCATTCAATTCTTTCAGATCTTGGGAGAATGAAATTGAATGTTCACAGGTAACTAGAACATTGTCATGACACCAAAACAACCTTTTCTCTTTCTTTTTACAAGTCACTAATTGGCAGAAATTATTTACACTTGAAAATGAAAAAGGAATTCAGGAAAGAAAGAATAAACAACTAAAAAAGAATTGTCATGTAGAAGAAATACTACTATTAAAATTTATTCTTAATCCAATCACATGGTAGAAGCCACAAATCTAGCCGTGCATTAATGCGTGCAGATAGACTACATAAATAAAGATATTGCAACAAACCATGATAAGAAGTATCTGTTTTTAGTAGACAGTTAAAAGTCTACAGTGTAAAAAAAAAAAAAAAAGGGAAGAAAAAGCTGTTGTGAGGTGTGTGCAAATAGAAAATTTTACATGGATCTTAAGCATAGAAATTAGCTATAACAATCAGCTTTATTCACATTCCAATAGATCCCTCAATCCAAATAACAATTCATGAATTATAGCTTGATGAATACTAGGAATCCACACATACCGAATGGAAATGTACAAAAGCAAATCCCCTTGAAACATGGGTGAACTTGTCTCTAACAAGACGTAGATCCTGCATGTTCAAAATAGCTCAAACATTGCTGCTGCTGATAAGGGTAAAACATTCTTCTCGGAAGAAACACTGATGTACAAATGTTTACCTTTATTGGAGCATGTTTAGAAAATTCATATCGGAGCATGTCCTCATCAGCATTTTCATCCAATCCACGAACAACCAAAACATGTGTTGGACCTGATTACACATTAACTTAGTGAATTGCATTATTGCAGAAAGACATTACTTACACGTGCCAGCTCAAAATAACAGCTAATCAACCTGACTCTGATCCTTTCTTTCCCAATGATGCCAGATTTGATAAAGACATATCTGCTGCTGGAGCATCATCAGCCCGTGGCTCATTACACTGCATTAAAGGAAGAAAAGAAGATGCACTATCTTTATATCAAATTCATTGGGCACAACCTAAAATTACATAGGTTATAGCTTTTTGCAGCAGAACTAAGCAAAAGACTTATGTCAAAAAATAATAATACATCGGTTTATTATCATAAAAAATATCACACTTTCAAATGCACAAGAAAAAGTGGATTCTCATATTGATAACTAACATTCAAACATATCCCCAAGCCTAGCACACCTCCCGAATACTTGTAACACACATGACTGCAATGGTCATTACTCATTACCTACGTATGATCCCAAGAAAGCATGCTTTTATAGTTAAGTAATTTTTGAAGGAATAGCCAACCTGAAAGCAGGATGTTCGTCGTGCAAAATTGACACAACTACAGATGGTACACATCCAATCAGAAGGCATTGTCATGCTCTTATGGCTAGCATGACCTGATTTTCCACTACTCTCTTGACCAAAAGGTGTACCAGATCCCCCAGTTGGCTTACTACTGCAACAGTACACATTTCAAATGTGCAATTAATTTTTCTGTTAACTGAGACATATTACAGGACTACTACACACTGAAATACCAAGCAGTTCCATGTTTCTTTTCAATCAAAATGAAAAAAAAAAAAAAAAGGCAATAAGAATTTTAAATGATAACAATTACAACAAAAACTGATCAAGATTACAACTACATTACCTCCTCAGTTTCAGAAGACTGCAATAGTTATTAAAGATCAATGAACATATGAGACAGCATAATATCTTTGGTTAGAAAGAACAAGACAATCAATGCAAGCTTCCAAAAGTTGCATTCAAAATGTCTTGCAGCACAGCTAAAGTTTTTAATTATAGTGCCTTTTAACAAAATTAAGAGCCAGCAGAATAGTTCCCTGTTAAGTCAGTTTTACATTTGGGCTCCATTTTTAGTTATTCTACAGTGAACGTCAGATATAACTCCAGCAATTCCCAGAACAGGATCATTCTTTCATGGGATCTTCTAAAACTTTCAAAGACAATCAAATGCATATTAATTGGGCTCAAAAATGGCTTAATGCCCAATGTTAAGGGCATATAGAACTCTGGAAACTTGCATTCTTAACATTCTTGTATCATGCTTCAATAAATTATTTGTAGTTTATTAAGGTATTGATGCTAGAAAACTCTTCTGCACAACTACTATAATTTTCTATATAATCTATTCTCTTTATGTTCTCCAGTATCACAAACTGCAGCTGAATCTCTCCTTGTAACCAAACTAACTGGTCATCACAAATACCTCCCTCCCCCAACCCTACCCCATCTCTACCACAGCTATCATTCTTTTTTCATCATCAAAAGATTCAAAACTACCTAGGACCACTGCAATCACATTTGAGCAAATTTGCAGTTTAACATCTTCTCTATTTTCCAATTGCAGAATGCAAAAACTGTTTTTCTATTTTTGGTGCTGCCAGAAATTCCAGCACCAAATTCTTTGCTCTCTAGACACTCATTTGATCTCATGATTCAATCACTTCTTATTTTCTTTAATAATCCTATAAAAGGCTAAAATCCTCAATAATGTCAAAATCCTCAACAATGTCAAAATCCAAAACACAAAGCTCCTCTAAGACTTGTCAAAAAACCACGCAGGCAGATTTCTTGAGTCCGTTCTACATCACAGAACCAAATAATTATTATTGGTACAAAGAAGTACCTGTACTCAAAGAAAAGCTTCCTACCATCCACAATAAGGCCATCATCCCCAATCTGGTCCATCATTGCACGTGCTGCCCCCTGTTTGACAAGAACAATCACTATCATATGGGCCAATAATCAAAACCAAACATAAAGCAATTGACCATTAAGCATGGTTTGATACCAAAGAAGGAAAATCAACAAAGGCAAATCCACGAGAGATGCCAGAGTTTCGCTCCTTGATCACACGGACATGACGTAGTGGTCCCCATTCAGCCTGATTGTCAAACAATATGTGATGAATATTACTAAGGATAAGTACTCAAAGCAAGAAATGAAGAGATTAAAGCATTACAAGGATCTGATATAAATCTTCTTCAGTTGTTTTCTGTGAGAGGCCCTTTACTACAACTGTGGCCGATGGCACCTGCAAGAAAACATGGATTTTAATTGGAAAAACCCAGCCTTACAAGAGAGGGGGGATATGGGTGGGGATTGCAACATGGTCAAAAATGGTCATTTTGATAATATAAAATATACCACAGAATAATGGTCACGGATATATTTGTCCTCATGGTCCCTTCGCTTCTCAGTTCTCTCATTTCGTCCATCTTCATAGCTATCCTCTCGATAGCTTCGGCCATGGCTTCTACCTCGAGGAGACCTTGATATAGAGCGATTGTCATGTCCACGAGACTGGGACCGCTCACGCCTTCTATGTGGACTCTGATCTCTTTCTCGACTCCAACTTCTCTTGTCACAGTCCCTTTCACGCGATTCATGCCTCCTCCAACTGGCCCTGTCATAATGAGAATCATGACCATGTCGACCATGTTCATAATCCCTCTCATGGCTATCCTCCCTGTTTTGATGAGACATTCGGGGCCTATAGTCATAATCGTCACATCCATAGTCATCCCGATCACGTCCCCCAATCCTTGAGGGCCTGTCAAATTCATGATCTCGATAATTGTCACCACCATTATAACCATCTCGAAACTTACTGGCATCTTGAAATGAATCCATGTCATGATCACGAAAAGTATCCACATTGTTATGTGAGTCAATGTAAGGCTTTTGATGCCGCCGGGAATCCCGATCAAAGGGATAGTCTTCCTCATAGCTTCTCCTTCTTGATTGAGGCCAAAGACCAGCAGCAGGTGGAGGAGGGTACTTCTCCCTCCCTGAAGGATCCCGGTAATAAGAATTTCTTGCATAGACAGTATCTCTTGAGTACCTTTCATCTAGAAACCTCCTTTCATCATATGAACCACCAATCCTGCCATAGTAACATACATCCATACATCCAATATGGAAGAAAAAGATAGAACATGGCATCATGAACTCAATACAAAAAGTAAAGAAATATATTTGTTTTCTTATGGAAATAACCATAACCAGCAATATTGGATCAAGACAAATATTCAAAATCCTCATAGTTATACAATTGTTTGCAAACTCATGTACTAACAAGTGAACAGAAAAGTAAAGGCCACACAATTTTCAAACCCTTTTATCCTTGAGGACTAAATAATACTTGGGATGGTGACTAGCATCTCTCAGCACTCACCGCAAGTTTGGCTCGTGCACAGCACCATAACCCTCAACAGCCTGTGGATTCAAGAGATAAGCTAATGTCAGCAACAAATTCAATCGTGTTAGGAGGTAGGCAAAATCCAGTCCATATCCTCACTGCCAACGGCTCTATCATTTTTCTTAAGGATGAGATGCCCAAAAAAAATTGGACAATGACAAGATCCCTAAAAATTTCTTGTATTATCATCCCATAGAGGTGATTATAAAGGAGAAAAACCGCAATTACGCTGTTATTATCCCATCCTTGCTGAAGACCATAGCGACCAGGATCCATTTCTTCCTGCAAGACTTTTGGTTGACGATAAGAGGTATCAGGAGCCAAGAATGTCTAAAACCCTTTCTCTTTCCTGTAATATATGCACAAACAGAGACGGTTATGGCATGATGAACCAAGAACCTTAATCCCCATGACTTGGCCTTGGCCTCCAAATTTTTTTTACAACTCTGAATCCTCAAAAACCAAATCCTTTGCACAAAACTCAGAAATATCCATCTTCCAAAATCTCCCCTAGTAGAAACCAACAGCTATATAACAACAATATTATCATCCGAACTAATCTACGCAAGGCAAATCAACCTCAATTCAAGAATCAAGTCAATCAACAGACTCAACATAAAGGCAGAAACAAACACAAAGTACATATTGAATTACTTGTTCATCAATCGGATCCAACACCAGAAGGAAAAAGATTGAAATTCAAGAAATTAAATTAATATTCTATCCCTTATCAATTGTTTCTGAAATTCTTCGCAACAAAAGTACCTCGCTTGAGAAGGCACAATATCGAACTCTTGAGTATTCGGCAATCCTCAACGCGCCGCCGGCGCCTAATGCTCCTCTTCCGCTAGTATCTCCGGGAGCAATATACAAATCGGTTGAGCTCCGACGATGGATGGTGTGAGCTAACCTAACACAATAAAGAGAGAAAACGGCAGGAGCTTCGAGCTTTGGGCTTGTGGAGGTGTGTTTTTCACTTTATTATTTATTTATTAAATTACTATATCAACTCTATTCGAAAAAAATTAATAAAAGGGACACCATATTGTCATTTTACCAAGAAAAAAAAAATTTTAATGCCTTAATTTTTAAAATAGTAATGAAATTATTTTAATTTATTTTGTAATATTTTATTAAAATAAAATAATTTTTAATTTTTTTAAAATTTCTTTAAATATTTTAACACTACTGTAAATGACTTTAATTGATTAATATATTAAAAATCTGAGCGGATGCATGCTACCCCAGCATGCACGTCATATATATGCGTGTCAAAAAATGAAATTATTTTAATTTATTTTGTAATATTTTATTAAAATAAAATAATTTTTGATTTTTTTAAGATTTCTTTAAATATTTTAACACTACTGTAAATGACTTTAATTGGTTAATGGATTAAATCGAACTAAATATTTACATTTTTAATAAAAATTAATTATAAAAAATATATTTATTATACTTTTATATAAAAAACTTTTTTTATTAATTTTTTTTATATATACATTCCATAAATATTGAATTTTTATTATATTAAACTCCTAAAATTACAAAAGTTATATAATTAAAATCTTTATGTTCAATTTAATCTTCTAACTTTTTTTTATGAGAATTTGATCTTTTAATTTTTTGACTGAGTCTTAATTGGAAGGCACTATTAATCCTCTATAACTATGATACAAAATTATAAAATTGGTGTGACATTTCTTAATTTAATATGCTTTTCTTTATAATTAATGAGATAGTTCTCTTTTCTGTTAAATTATATTTCAAAATTCAAATATGAAACCTTCAATTTAAATTCTTAAGTTTTTTAAATTGATACATTTTCTTAAAATATCAAATATACATTTTAATTAAAACTTCATTTGAAAATACTTCTTACAGGAATGCATCATTTTATCTAAAAATATATATAATTATAATTCATAATTAAATTTTTATATAATTTTATTAATTTTAATAATAATTTTATATATTTTGATAATAATAAAAAACTAAAAAAACTTAAAACAATAGTACAACCAAACATACTATTGATAAACAAAACCAAGTGTTAGGTATTAAATATGTGATGTCTACTACTAAATTTAGTCTTCTTAATTGGCGCAAGCAAAGTAACAGTAAACTAGTCTTGTCGGTAAGGATTAATATGAAAGAGGAAATGAAAAGACATAAAAAGGCCAAAACCAACATTTTTATTAGAATTAAAATTCACTTATATTCATGTATAAATTTTATATAAATTATTAAATATAGCATTATTATTTTAAATAGTTCCACCTGAAAATTCACGAAAGTGAAGTGTGACTTTTTTCTAACATATTTTGGCTAAGCAAGAACTTAAACAAAAAAGTGGTTGGATAATTTAAAGGTTGTAATAAAATTGTTGAAAATAATAGTTTAAGGTTAATTTTTCATTTTACTTCAAAGTTCAGGGAGTATTCATATACTTATTTCTAATTTGCAAACAATAAATGCATAAAAAAAAAAAATTAAGGAGGAAAACCGAAAATTTTCAAGAGAAGGAAAGAAGACTGGAAGAGAAAAGGCCCAGAAACTAAAAACCCAAAGCATAGATAAAGCCCATTCGCCTCACTGCACACCCAGACCCAAGTCAATAAGTCACCGAACAGTCGAACACCGATCCTGAGGGGCAAAAAGGTCAAAAAAGACAGCCCAGAGGCCAGAAACCTACCCAACGTGGGCCGGCTGAGGTTATGGCACTGGCCTTTTTGTTAAGGCCTTCAGTTTTTTTTTTTTTTTTT